TAAAGTTTATAAGATTTCTAAGTTTCTCTTTTAGCACTTATATATCTTTATCTTATAATTTTTATATAATCGGCTATAAGAAAATATATTTGTTCAAGAATCTAAGGGCAAATTTGTCTAAAAATAAATTAAAAAAGGTTATTTCTATATAAAAAATTATAATAAATTAATTGTACAGTAATTATATACCTGACCAAAGAAAGTTAAAATACTTGTTTGTTTCTTAGAGCTTTCATACATATGACGCATTATATTATTATATTTATTAAATGTTGTCAAATCTTCAATATCAAAGTTATCGCAAGTTTGTTGTTCAAAAAACTCTATCCAAGTTTAAGTGTATCATAACCTTGTTTAATAGAAATTGGAGGAGTTTCAACTTCGGAATTATGATAAAATTATTTGTAGAGCAAGTATAATATATATTATATATGTAAAATATGTATACCAATCATGCTGAAATCAATAACTTAACCAGATTAGCCGAAAAATTATTTGGTAAATTTTATCAGGTGTCTCAGGAATTATGGTAATAGCTGTAACAATAAATTCAGATTTAATGATTAACTCTGGATTCAAGTATTATCTCTAGTTTATCACTTTCACTATTATCTTTTTCTTCTTCCAAAACTAGTTGAACAATTTGCTCATCAGTTAGATTCTCTTCTGTTAAAATAGTAGTGTTAAGATCATCTAAATACTTAGTAAAATTATCAACTAAGATTGTTGTAGATTCATTAGAAGATTCAATAGACCAATTTTGTAGCATTAAAAAAACATTATTATCAGAAATTTCCTCTTCAATATCTAATAACATATCAACATTATCCTTTCTATTAGGCAAAATGCCTGTTTTGTTTCAACAATTTCTAATCGTTGATTCATGAATACTTTCCCAAGCAAACGAAGCATATTTGATTGCATCTTTAAGAGTTAACTTTTTTCTAAATATATAAATTAAAATTTAGTTTATTTATATAATAAAACTTACTAAGAAAGTATAACTAACATATTAACTATATATATAGCTAATGCGTTAATTATATTTTTTTAATTTTTACTAATACCAAACTGTCTAAAATAGAATTATTACAAATTAGTTCTGATCACTTCAAAGATACTACAGCTTACTTACTCTTATTTCTTATTTTACTAACAATTAATTTATAAACAAGTTTATTTCATAAACAGAATATTTTACTAATAGCTAATTTTACAAAGTAATTTAATTCATTGTTATTAGCATTAGATTAGAATCAAAGTTAAAGTTAGTATAATAATTATCTTTAAAATAAGCATGTTAATAAAATGAGTTTCAGTATCTTTGAAATGATTATCAGTAAAACAACATAATCGATTACAAATACTTACTTATCTAAATCTTCATCTTTGTCAAATTGATTAATTATATGATGGCAATATAACTGCTTATATTTGGCTTTGAATGCTGCAATAATACCAGCATCCATCGGCTATAAATGTGCAGTCATATTAGAAGGAATAAAAATAATTTTAATATGCATAAGATTTAAAGAGTTAAAATTTTTTTGTTTAGCTTTTTTTGACTTTTTTGATTTTGCTGATTCATCATCATCTTCTATATCTCTATTAGGATCAAAATGAGAAGTTGCATTATCAATTAATAATACAATTTTATGATCTTTAATACGAAAGCCTTGATCCAAATAGTGTAGCCATTTTTCAAAAATATCAGAACGCATCCAAGCTTTGCTATTTGAAAAATACATTATTGGTAAAGTACTTAAATTAATTTTTTAAAACATCGAGATCTTTTAAATTTTCCAATAACTAAAGGCTTTAATTTGTGAGTTCCTGTTGCATTTGTTCCAAACAAAATTGTTATACAAGTTTTATTCTAAATTAGATAAAATGATAAGGTTATATAAAATTAATTAATTGATTTATAGCCTGGTCAAGTTAAATTTTGAAAATTTGTAAAAAAAAATTTTATATTTTAATAGCTAGGTAGATTTTTAAGAAAATTTTTAAAAATTTTTATATATGAAATTTAAAAAAGCTAGCTAGCCAGGCTTGTTTAAAAGTTTTGTATTATTAAAATCAAGATATTAAATTTGTATAGCCTAACTATAATTTATATAAGTTTAAATATCTTAATATATAGTAAATAATTAATTTATATTTAAATACCTTTTTTTGCCTGAAACAGGTGCTGTAGCTAATGTTTGATTTGGAGCCATTTGATAAAATAACCTATTTCATCTGCATTATAAATATTCTCAAGATCATATTTAGATAAGGTTTCTTGAAGCTTACATCTTTCTTCAAATACATTATATATAGAGACACTTGATGCCT